ATAATATAAAAAATCTATTCGTATCCTTGCCTTGCCAATCATACTCCGTCCGCCCACAGATTCGCGAGTGTTTTCTCTTCTTCCTTTTTGATAAAATTTAAAAAAATTAATGACAAAAGATAATTTAACATAAGCAAACAAAACAAAGCCAAATCAAAAAAGTAAAACGACCGTACTAAACATCCACACATGCATGTATAGTATTTGACGCCGTCATGATTAAATATTGGAGGAAATGTTCGTTGATGAATTGAATCTTCACGAGCGTGAAGGCTCATTCTCCAGTTTCTCAAGGACATTAAATCTTTATTTCTAGATTGGGTAGATTAATATTAGGAAAAATAATAATTAGGAATCCCATAAGAACATTAATAATGATTACAAACTCTAAATTATTAAAATTTCATTAACAGACCATGATCCTTATTTATAATGAATTATCTTTTGTTAATAAACTTGAGATTCACAATCAACTTTAATAAATTTTTAGCTAACTCTACATTGCCCTTATATGCAATGGAGAAAAAACTTATATTTATTTTCAATTACATCATTTATTTCATGGCAAACTTTTGTTATTAATATTATTAACATATTAAATTCACTTGTTTTGATTTGATTGGATAAAAGTGTATTAAATATATAAAACTAAATATATAAGTCTTGCCCTTTACATTATTGGAACGATATGTAACAAAATCAATTTGTGACTTATTTTTTTTGATTTTTATTGTAAATTTTATTCTTTGTTATAACAATCGAGTTTTATTTATGAGATGAGATTTCAACGAATTTTCATGAGATTTTTTTTTTAGTTGCCCAAATAAACTGCTGATGAAATCAAATGAACATTATTGGTGAAAATACTTTAGCGGAATGAGCAATAGAACTATTTGAGGTATCTTATTGTCACGTTCAAAAAAGAAGTCAAGGTCACGAAACATCTATGCACCGATAAAAGAAGACAAGACCAGACCAAATTATTAAGCTCTTGAAATTAAATATGCGCAATTGTGAAACTACTTTTGCAGAAAAGACGAGGTAATTCTCAATAATTCTGGATTTTGTGTTCTATTGACATATATTGCTCTCTCCATTTTAAATATAAGGAACAACCAATCATTTCATCAATATTAAAAAGGCAGTTATCCTTCTTAATTAAATTTGTCAGAAATTTATTATTTTTACAAATGCTCCGAATAATTTAATGTTTGAACTTCTACCTAATAGTTAATGATTCTTAATTAATTACTATTCCTAATTAATTTAATGAAGGGTATTACTGTTATTGATATAATTTAATTAATATACCAAACTTAAAAACTCTTTGTTTCTTGCTACTCCCTCTTCTGGATGCATGAGGATTTGGTATTAAGCTAAATCCCTTGCTGGGATATATAAATTAAAGTCTATAGATTTGAATCAAAGTCAAATTCATATTTCTTTATAATTTTAATTTTCTTTTAAATCTTAGTTATTTAAAATTTCAGCTATTTCAATTCTAGTTTCCAAGCGTTATAGATGTGTTCACTTATGTGAAGTTTAATAGTTAAACTTGAAAAATATTGTTTATTTATAAATTAGGCAAAACATGCTACAAACTCAAATTAGCATGAATAGCATCGGATCTCATTACTTAATCTAATTGAGTGTTCTATTCCTAATTGACATTGTGTACATAGCAAACCTAGTTAGGAGGGAGAGGAGTTAATACTGAAAAGAAGATTAATCGAAAAAAATCGCTTTCAGTCCCACATAAGAAATCTAAATACAAAAAAATTCTGCATGAAATCTCAAAATTATTATAGAGTACTCCCATGTCTTTTACTCAAATTATCAACTATAAACAATTTCATTAACCACCATCCAATAACGAATGACAACTTCAATGTGGCGAATTGACAACTTTAATTACATGAGTCTTATAAGTAATTTTGTAATTTTATGGGACTCTTTTGTTTTCATATTTCCCATGTGGCGCCTAAGTGTAATTTTCCTAAGATTAATTAGTTTTTGCTGTTGGTAGATTTTTTTTTTTAATTTCATCGTCTCGTATAAACTTAGACCACACCTCTTCCACCCAAACTAATCCATACCCCCATTATGTGATGTCTTTATTATAATTCAAGGATACTTTTAACATACTCCCTCCAATTCTGTATATTATGCGCCTTTTAAAATCACAATGTAGTCCACTTTATAAATCATTAACTAATGAGATTGTTTTAAATTAAAATACCAAACTAACCTTGAAAAGTAGGAAGAGAAGAAAAATAATATTATTTGATTTTTTTTTACTTTTTGCTTTTTACTCGAAGATTACATTTAAAATTTTACTTACTTTTATTCCTTGTACGTTTTGTTATATTAACATTGATGAAGCTGGTAGAAATAACTTGTAAATAAAATCAGATAGATATTTATTTAATGCAACTATATGTCCTAAAACTCGAATTTGATTCCAAGATAAGTTAATTTAACTCCCTCAACTAGTTGAACTAAACAACTCTTAGTATGCTGTTACTGTTGGTAGAATATACTCTTTCATTATAAAAACAAATAAATTAGGAAACAGTTTTATAGATGTTTAAAAATCAACTGTGCAGCCGGGCCTAGGCCAAAAGAAAAAAATGTAACTACTTTTTACTTTGTTAAATTTTCAGAATCCAACTGATCATAAAAAAATTCTAATACTACTGATACATTTGATGCAGCAATAAAACAAGACACGCATATGACTAAAAACAAGACACGCATAACTAAAGATGACCAAACAAATATGACCAAAAAAAGGTAAAGCAACTGCTCCATGATTTCCACATGCATGTACAATATATAATATGACATTAACATAACTTTATTATATAATTCATGGAAAGAGTTGCTGATTGATGAATTGAATCTGCACTAACATGAAGGAAATTAAATCTCTGTGTGTGTCTCTGTGTGTGTGTGTGTGTGTGTGTTTCACACACAGCACCCCCCAACCCCACCAGGTTCTGTTAATAGTATTGGATAAATGTAGCCATCTGAATAAAGTTGAAGCACCATAATAAAAAGCATAAAGTCTCGTTGGCAAGTGGGAAAGACGTCCTCATTGACCAAACTTCTAAAAGAATGAGTCTCGTTGGCTTTACAACCTCAGATTTGTGGAACACGAGCCCCTCTCTTTTGCTCCAATTATTCTTCTTCTGTCTTTCCCTTGTCTGGTCAACAAAACGGAGCATTGTATTAATTTATTAGACAAAATTACGTAAATATTTATTTCTTTTATTTTTTAAATTTATCCAAAGTCTTATTTCAGAACTAAAGAAAAAGTAAATTACAATTTATGATTTTTATGAGTTTTACTCTCTTTTATTTTCATTTGAAGAGCGAGCCGTAACAACTTAAAAGGCAGCGATTTGGAATTGTGATCTCCAAAAGAGTAGAGATATTGCTTGGTCACAAGACCATTAGCTAAATTGACATGAATGATTCTGTGGTTTTAAAACCTACATATCTCAATCTCAATTGATATAACAACGCATAAATTTAACTGATTTGGTCTGAGTTTTTCTTTGTTTTTTTTTCTTTTTATTACTCATGGGTGTTTAATCTATTTTGAGAAGCAGTTGTGTGCTAAATATGGACACTTTTTTCAGTAGGAATTCAAATTTTGATTCGTCAAGTTGTGAGGAATTAGCTCTTTTCACACGCATATATAAGTATACATGTTACATTTTTTTAACTTTATGAAAGTTCAATGAAATAAGCTGCATAATTCATTTTTATTTTAAAGAATATGTGTGTGTAGGATTTTAAAATTAATAAAAAAACATTTGTTATTTAAAGAAAAAAACTCAATTTCTTGGACATGTGTGTTTACTGTTAGGATTGGGATAAAATTCCCCACCATTGGTTGCCATAATTCATTATTCTCATGGCTCAATGTTCGGTGTTTGATTCTTGCCTATATGTTCCGAGCTCGATTGCTAGTGCTGGGGAGAGGAGGAGAGGAACGAATTCGGCCAGCTAGAATAAGTTGAAAATAACACGATATAATGTCCTTTTACACTAAAAAATTTTAATATTTATTATTTTATATTTTTACATTCAGTAATTACAAAAATAAATTTTTCATCATATCATGAAATTATTTTTATAAGTAATTATTTTATTATGCTGTATAATATAAGGATTATGGTGATTAACTCATCGTTTTGTTCTATCATTACATTATTTATTCTCACCTATCCAAATTTTATAAATTGCATGATTTATTTTTCATTCTATTTTTATCTTTTCTATTTCATTCTCATAAAATTTATTTTCTTTTGATTCTATTATCCAGTATCCTCGAAAACCTAGTATTACCACCACTTATCTACACTAATTTGAACTCTTGCTAGTCGCTGCAGTGACGTTACAAGCTCATGGGTACCTCAGGTATTCTCGTAAAATTTATTTTTGTTGACAAACACTTTAGGTCAAAGAAGTATGTAAAATAATTTTTAACTTAAAAAGATGGTTATTTTAGGGATAAATTTTATTAAAAACTCGATCTATTGTGTGTATACACAAATCGTGAAATTGAAACAAAAATTAATATATTTTTAAAATAGGATCTACGCATGTTATATAAATTTTGGAAACAATTTTTCCAATCTTACGTGGTTCATGTTAACGATCTGCAACACTGACTTTTGTACTCTATGTTTTTACGAAATAGGATGACGGCAGTAAATATAGCGTTTACAAGCTTTTTTTATGCAGTAAATGTTAGTTGACAACAAGATATTCTGTTTTCTACGGACGAAGCAATACGTATTAATTATTAACCAAACAGCACATAATTCTTTTGTAGGCCATGTCATTATCACCTTTAATTTCTATTCGTTCATTGCACCAAGCGATTCATAATCCTTATGATTCAAACTTCCTTGTTTGAACTCAACCTAATAAGAAACTCTATAAATACACGCCACCTTTGCAGTGCTTCACCATCCACACAACAATCCCCCACAGCATACCTCTCTGTCACTAGACATATATATCATTCCCTCTCTAACTCAGAAACTGATATATATACTTGAAGGAAGAGAGAGAGAGTGTGTGCGTAGTGTGAAGATCGACCATGGAGGATTTACGTAAGATGATGAATGGGTTAAAACCAGTGGTTTTAATGGTGATGGTGCAGATAGCATTTGCAGCAGTGAATGTGTTGTACAAGCTCGCCATTAATGATGGAATGAGCATGAGGATCGCTACTGCCTATCGCCTACTCTTCGGTTCTGCTTCTACTCTTCCTCTCGCTCTTGTCTTTGAAAGGTTTCATTCAATCTAGTTCTTCTTCCTCAATCTTCTTCCTCAATTTTAATTGCGATTATGATTAACATGGTGGCCAAAAAATAATGGTTCTTTTTGTTCTTCATTTGTTTGACAGGAACAAGAGACCGAAGCTCACTCGGAGAGTTCTTTTCATGGCATTTCTTTGCGGCTTATTTGGGTATATATTTCTACCCTTTTGCATGTCCTAGTTTTTCTTTTGGATATTCTAGGGTTACGCACTAAAAGAAATGAAGGATATGAGCCTTCTCTTTTATGATCAAATCGGTTATTAAAATGGTATAAGTATTTCAAGATTTCACGAATAAATTTTAGGTTTATTAGAGTGCTTATTTGAGAAAACGCTTTACAATATAGAGTCAGGACACACAGACACACATGACCTTTGACCCTATGAGAGCGCTTGAGCGCCGGTTGATCCAATCCTATTTTTCTTTTGTATTGTCTGAAATTAATATAATTTATGTGTATTTTTTTAATTATATTTCAGGGGGAGTTTATTTCAAAACCTTTACTTCGAGGCTCTAGCTTTGACATCCGCAACATTTGTTTCTGCTATTTACAACCTTATTCCAGCCATCACTTTCATATTGGCTATCTCTTGCGGGTATAATATCGATCTCCATTTTTATATTTTTAATAGATTAAGTAAATTTTTATAATCAAATTAAGCCATGGATATATTTTTTTTCTAAATAAGTTAAATAACATGTTTAGTAAAATACATGTTCATTCAACGAAGATGTGCTATCAAGTCACATCTTGGTGGAAACTAAAGTGACGTATCGTTATCCAATAGTATTATATTTATTTGTACATCAACAAGCTACATGTGGCTACAGCATTATAATGGGACTTTATTGAAATAAAGTGTATCTGCTTGAAGGAAAAAGTCAAATCACTCTTTTGTTTTTTAAATTATTCACTTAACTAATAAACCATCTTTATTTTGTTAATGTCAGCAGCCTCAATAATATAATTTTGCTTTTGATAAAGCTATGCTGAAGTCACGCATTAATGATCATATAAATCCCAATTGAATATGCATCTTGAAATGCTTTATTACGTGTAATGAGATGTGAGTTTGTTGTGTGTGAGAAACTCCTATGATGGACTCACTCATTTACCCGGTTCCTTCTTTGGAAAATAGTCCCTTTACCTAAACTATATTTGTTTTAGTATGTTTTATAAATTGAATCTGAAAAACATGTTGCAATATTTTATAATTTGAATATTTTGATATCACTTATATCTAGTTTATATATATATATATATATATATTCATATATATGGTACAAATTTTGAAAAATAAACTATAAAATTCATGACTTATAAATGGTAACTTTTATATATTCGAATCTAAATATCAAATAGTCCTATAAAAAAAGTTACTATTAATAAGACCCAACAATATTCGAATTTGATCATCAAAATAGTAGATAATAGTCATATAAAAAAGTTACTTATAAAATTTTATATTATTTTAATAGCATAGCTATATATATACACACACTTAATTTGACCATTATTTGTTTTTTCTTAAATGTGTAAAGCTTTGAAAGATTAAACTTGGGAGCAGCAGGAGGGAAAGCGAAGGTGTTGGGAACCATAATAGGGATTGGTGGGGCAATGCTTCTTACTTTCTTCAAAGGCTTCGAAATCCAAATTTGGCCCTTCCATATTAACCTTTTGCACCCACATCATGACCAAAACGGCACCGTTTTGACAACACGACATGGTCGCTCAGAATTGCTTGGTGTTCTCTGTGCCCTTGCAAGCTGCTTCTCCTATGCTTTCTGGCTAATTATTCAGGTCATTTTATTTATTTACTTTCAAGACCACAAATTAATAAATAATTCTTCGTCTTCATGTCGTTTGATGTTGTGATTCACAGTAATTATCTGAAATGTCGTTTTGGTTTTTATATGGCACAGGCTAAGATGAGTGCAGAATATCCATGCCATCTCTCTAGCACATCTCTGATGTCTACAATGGGAGCAATGCAAGCCACTGTGTTTGCTCTCTGTATGGAAAGAGATTGGAACCAATGGAAATTGGATTGGAATGTCAGGCTTCTTGCAGTTTCATTCTCGGTATGTGTCATCAATTATCATCAATTATTTCTTTTTTAATTATTAAAATAATCTAAAATTACCATTGATAGAGTTGTGTTGAGTTAAAGTAACTCAATTCTCCATAAACAAGGTCAAGAATTTAACTTGAACGGTGTGAATGAAAAAAAATCATATTGATAAAACTAACTCGCATTTGGGCCTAACAGCAATGATCGAATCTGACTTGGCTCTGTAATTCCAAATATTATCATATATTTATATAAAAAAAGAAATGATTGATTATAAAATTGTTTAATTTTGCAGGGAATTGTTGCATCAGGAATAGTGGTGATTGTGATCGCATGGTGTGTGAGGATGAAAGGTCCAATGTTTGCTTCTGCATTCACTCCTTTAATGCTTGTAATAGTGGCCCTTGCTGCTTCTTTAACATTGAATGAGAACCTCTATTTAGGAAGGTACAAATTCTTATTAATCTCATTCAAAACTAAGGAAATTGTTCTAGCTATATGCATGCATATATATATATATATATGTCAAAATGTCAACATTGAATTATGGTATATGTATATATGATTGATTTGGGTTTCAAAATACTGTACAGTGTGATTGGAGCTTTGCTGATAGTTTGTGGTTTATACGTTGTGCTGTGGGGCAAGAGCAAGGAAATGAGGACGATGACTCAGTTGGTGCCATCAGAAATGACCCAACAAGAACTTGAACCCGTTGAAGTTGTTGTCAGCAACTTAGCAGATCCTAATAATCAGAAAATTTCACCAAAACAATAATTAATTAGTCCATTGTCATTGATTCTGATCTTCTTCACTTGATGATGATTCACCGAAAACTGGTCATGAGGATGAAGATTAGCACTTGTCTCTGGCATTGTCGTCTTAAGAGACTTTCAACATCGAAAGTGCTTAAGATTTGGAGATCCTTCTCCACTTGATAGTATGGAATATTTTAGATCGAGAGAGAGCGAGAGAGAGAGAGAGAGAGAGCAAGTAGTGGTGGGTCTAAGCTTTACACTTGTACTTTGCCTCCATGAAGGACGAGCCCATCTTTTTTTCTCTGTATATATCTCTTAACTTTTTTAGTAATTATATTATTTTCCCGTCAATATTGAAGTCAACTTTTACGCTTCTTTTGTCTCTTCTCAAAACATATTTATCCGGTTTTTAAAACCTTGATCATGTTCTCTGAATTATTCTCTCCTATTTAATTAAGTTGTGATATTTATCACCTGTTCAATTAAATATAATATGATATTAGATGTAAGCATGAAGCAAGTCAACTTTATTACCAATTGCTGTTTTACCGTTCTAACCAGAGCTCTTAAATGCAAGTTTAGGAATGCAACCATGTTTAAGTATAATGCTCTTTTGCAGTACTGCTTGACTCAATTTAAATTAGTTTGGGGCACGTTAAGTCCTTTAATTCTGGTGGGACAAACCCAAGATATATCAGGTAGTTAAATCCAAAAAAAAAAAAAAACAAAGCGAGTGAGCTTACAATTTCAAATTTCCCTACTTTTTGGTTTGTAAATAATCCCCACATTCCAATGTATATATCACTTTCCATAATTGGGTGTCTCACAATCCTGCCAACTTGACCCTTTCGCAAAGATAAGCTCCGCTAGGGTTCTTACCCTCCCCTCCTCTTTAGGAGGGCTTTTCTCTATTCAGGTGAAAGAATAGCATTCACCCTCCTCCCGAAGGCATGGCAAGTGGCAGTAGGTGGTTGATTGGGTCTAAGTGTCACAGGGCGCGCGCATCTAGGTGGGTGTGTTGGTAGTTTGTAGATGGGAGTTTGGCCAACCTCTAACTGTGTGTTTGGATAAGTGACAAAATCGATTAAATAATCTAAAATTAATTTTTTGGACCAAGTTAATCAAACAGCCAGAAAAGCCAAAAGCCAAGTATGGGCCTCAAATGCTCGTTTTTTCATAAGCTCTTTGAATGAGCTTTTGTGAAAAGTTGATGAAAAAATATTGAAAAAAATTATAAAGAATGGGCTAAAAAAATTATAAAAAAGGCACAATATTAAATAAAAATAAAATTAAAATCTCTTCTCTTCTTTGTTTTTTTAGTAAAATTTGAATTTTGAATCTTTCAAAAAGTTGCTACCATAAGTTTCTGTCAACTATCATTCTCCATTTAATACTTACTATAAAATTAATTCAAATAAAATATTAATTGATAAAAAAAATTAATTTAATTTAAAATTTAGAGTCATTATAAAAATTATTACAAAGGTCTAGAGAGAGAAAGATTTTGCATATTTATTACATTACTACATTTTTTATGTTGCTAAAATTTCAAGACAATGCTTAATATGTTTGTTAGATATAACTCATATCCATGATATCATTAAAAATTAATTTGTATATTATTACCTTCATCAGTTATTGTAAAATTGATATTTGATATTTAAGAATTAAATCTTTCTCTTTTATTAAATTTATTTTAACTAAGATATATTGAGTCACTTATTTACATAAATTTAAATGTTAATACTAATATAATTTAAATGTTTTAATTAATTAGATATGCAACTAAAATAATATATTTTACTTCTTAAATAAAATGTAACAACTTTAGTAATATTAGATATAAATTTATCAATAACTTAATTTTGAAAGGCAATGTTCTTTATGGTAATTTTTACAATTAAAATTGATTTTGAATAAATTATCTAAACATCTTCAATTATGTTAAAATTAATTTTAAAAAAACTGTATCTAAATATGTTGCATTATAACATAATCAATTATAATTAAAATCTACCATTTAATTAATTATTTTCATAATCTATTATATTCAACTAAAATTCAAATGAGCACTAAATCATCATCTGTCAAGATTCTCCATTCTTGAAAGAGTTGGCTTCTTTCCATTTTTTTTCTCCACTTTCTCTTCATTTCTAATCACAACTATTAGATTTATTTTTGAATTGTTGAGATTTCATATTTTATTAAATTATTTTTTAATTTTTTAATTATTATTAAAACATTAAATTTAGGAAAAATAAATAAATAAATTTAAGATATAATTAATTTCATCTAAACTATAATTCAAGATTTAAGATTATAATTAAAAAATAAGAAAATTAATTTTATGAAACACTAAATTTCAACTATTCAAAAAATATATGATGGTTGAAATGAGAAGTGGAGAGAAAGTGGAGAGAATGGGAAATGGAGAGAAGCTAATTCCAGTCTAGAAGGGGTATCATTTCTTCTTTCCTATTTGCACCTTAGATTTGAATGGCTAGAATTGGTATATTTCTTCTTGTTTTTTTTAATAACAAAAAGTTTAGGTATGTTAGATCCCAGGGGCTCATTATGGTTAAGGTACGCCTCCAAGCTTAAAAAACATTTACAGAGTTATTTACAAATAGCTCACTATTAAAATCTTCACATTAGCAACAAAATTTAAATTTATCACCTTATGAGTTATAGGCCAAATCTTTACCAACTGAATTAATTTTTATTGGTTGAATTGGTATATTTCTAGCTTCATTGATGTTTGTTGGATGAAATTTCCCCTAATTTTGTGCCTGTAGTGTTAGAAGCAGTGGGTGCTTTTGGGTAGCATATTGAGAATTATTAAGGTCATTAATGTGCAAATTTACTCTATTGATAATCTATATTGAAAATATCCTTGGAATATGTCTGAATTTGATTGGTAGTGGGTTGTCAAGCTAGATATTGATGATAAGAGATGGGTTCCACTAAGAGTTTGGTTTAGTGTTTAAGTAAATATGGATGAACCTATTGCTGAGAACTTTGAAATGGAGGTAGTCAGAATAAATGCGGCTGATGCACATGATGATAAGGCTCAAAATGTTGAGATTGATTATGTTGTGTGAAATTCTACTAGCTGGTATATGTTTGGCAGCTGTTGGTTTGTCTACTGTACTCGTTTCTTTATGCAAAAGTGAAACAGAGGTTATGCTCTGTCTGGGTTGAAAAGGTGTAGTGAGATTTGAGAATGGTTTTATTCATATTATTGTGAGTCTGACTGTTTTCCTCTAGTGCAGACTATTTATTTGAAGCGAAGTTGTCTTGAATGGGATTATCTGACACTAGTAGAGCTTGTGGTTAATCTTGGAAGATTGTTGAACTCTTGTAGCTTCAAATAGATCTCCTGACGTTTGAATGCCGTAGTTGATTGGATTGCCCATGCAAACTCCGTAGTTGATTAATTACTTTCTTTTAATTTTATCCTTTCACAATTTTTGATAAACAGGGAATAAAAAGTTACATGAAAGAAAATATTTTTAAAGATGATACATATAATAAGTGAAAATTGAACTTTAAAGATGAGAAATTGTTTATTTGTTAGACAATATTAATAATTTAACCACCTCTCCATAATTTCATTTTGATGAAAATAATTAAAAATGACTTATAAATAAGACGAGATGTATTATTACCCACGGTTCAACAACATTAGTCAATTTACTTATAGCATCGTCATAAGCATTGCTGCTTCCTGCAAGGTCAACTACAAATCAAGGTCGACAAAATTTTAAATCCAATTTGTATGTGCTATAAAATAATGTAGAGCATTGCGGGCAAATTTCTTTAAATTCTTTAAGATGTTAAACTCCATTAGATTGGACTCAAGTGCAAAATTTTGTCACCGTTTAAATCCTCAACACTGGTTTTGGGCCAAAAGTCTTCAGCATTATTTTTAACTTCAGGCCCAATATATGTGTGGCCACAGGGGAATCGCCCCATGCTATTAGAATTAGAATTTCGAATTAACAAGTATACTTGTCATTCCTCACTGATCATAGCTCCACGTGTACCTTCTTCCGCCCTGTTCCCTGCGGTGAACCACAAATATGAGAAAATGAGAGATCCCACATAGGAATTCTAATTCCCAAAAAAAAAAAAACCCCATTAAAAGAAAAATTAACCATAATTTCATAAACTTTAATTGTAATTAATTTTTGTGTGTATTTACCAAAATACCATCAAAATACCCTTCTTTTGAAAAAAATTATCTCCGCATGGTCATCGGCATAGCAACCGTCGTCACTAGCCAACCGTTGATGATTGGAGCCCCGTTGCTAATCGTTGGAGTCGCTGCCAGACCGTCAAAGCTCTGATCCATTAATTCTTATAGGACAGTTTGTCAGAATAGATTAATACCAGCGCGTAATATGGATTAATACTTTAAGCTAAAGTTATTAATATCCCATTGACAATTGTTATATAATAATTGACAACCATGAGATAGGAAATTGACAACTAATTGTTGGATATTTTATAATGTTTAATGGTATTTCAAAAAAAATTATTATTTGATTAATAATATTAATCACTTGCTATTTAAATCTATTGAATTCTCATTATTTCTTGAAATCGTTTTTGAATGTATTAAGGTGTCATTAGTAAATGTTTTAATTGGCCGATGTTCATGAGTTCTCTACCAATGGAAGGCGGTGCAGACTGCATGGTTGGAGGCATCAGCCTTTGAGCTTTTCGGCTATCTCTTCGATCTTTTGTCGTACTGTTGTTGCCTGAGTTTTTTTCTATGAATTTTTTTTTGTTGTGTCTCTATTCGTTTTGCTAGAACAATCTATTTAATCCTAAGGAGTTATTGCATAATAAATCCGGTGTAGTGAAATAACTTTTAAGAACATTATTCTTGGACATAATTTATACTTTGATTTTACCTGCCACTGCCTACAGTAATCACTCACTAGCAAGTTTCCTAGATTAGCTGTTAATTTCTAATATGCTAAAAAGGTCAATTCCTTGTACTTAAATTGTTGATATCTCATTGACAATTAACTCGTTAGAGTTGTCAATTTCAGCATAGGAGATTGACAACTAGTGTACAAGAAATTGACAACTAATGTTTTGTAATAGACATAAGTTATATATATATATATATATATATGTAACATTTCTTCAAATCCTGCCATGACAAACTCCTCAATAATTTGCGTCCTAGCACCGAAGCTCCGTTTCGTTGGACAAGCAAGCAGGCAATGGCTCCAACAACTAACCAGTGACAGCGGCTTCAGTGGCAGTGACCATGAGGAATTTTTTTTTTTTCATTTTTTTAAAAAAATCTTTAGTAAATATACGGATGAATAATTACAACCAAACTTCATGAGACTTTATGAGTATTTGTTGGGAGAGGTTTGTATACCTATGTGGGACCAGGGACGGAACCAGGATGAGTAGGATGGGGGCCAAATTTAAATAAAAAAATTATTTTAATTTATTCTTTAATTTTTTAATATTTAGAATAAAAACTTAATTAATTTTTTTTACAATATGAAAAAACTCATAAGATAAGAATCATTTAAAATTATATCATATTCTTAAAAAATTAAAATTAAGTTATATTTAATTTATGCATATGATAGAAACACAAAAAAGAATTTATATGCTTCATGCACCGAAATCAATAGATCAATAATATATGAAAATTAAATAATAAAAATTAATTTATTAAAGTAATTACTCAATTTTTATAGTAGTAATTTATTCAAGAAATTTTTTTTAACAATCTAGTAAAAAACTAACATATTGCTGATCAATATTAAATTTCACTCTTTTTTTATTAATAAAAAATAATATTCATCATGTATCAATAATAAAAAAGTATTTTTAAGAAAAATTCAGTACACATTTTATATCTAATATTTATTTCATAAATAGATAAGAAATTAGAATAATACATATATGGAAATGGGAGAATCTGTTTGCAACTTTGCGTACAAATGTATTTGTGAGAAGGAAAGGGCGATAACCCTGTAAAATGCATGAATCTCTCTAGATGCACGTGGGCCCGCCCTCTGTGGGACCTTTGTATGATTTTCCCTTCAAAGACTTCATGCAATTTCTTGCTGGGTCGTTTCTGATGGCAACGACTGAGGCATCGTCCTCACGTCCCTCCTCTTCCCCCACAGCACAAAGTATAAGCCACACACTATCAGCAGAGCTCCAATCACACTGTACAATATTTTGAAACCCTAATCAATCATATACGTACATACCATTAATTAATTAATGTTGACGTTTTGATGCATACATACATACATATGGTACAGTTTAATTAATTAGTTTTGAATAAGATTAGTAAGAATTTGTACCTTCCTAAATAGAGTTTCTCATTCAGCGTTAAAGAAGCAGCAAGGGCCACTATCACAAGCATTAAAGGAGTGAATGCAGAAGCAAACACTGGACCTCTCATCCTCACACACCATGCCATCACAACCAACATTCCCGATGCAATAATTCCCTGCAAAATCAAACCATTTTCATAATGAATTTTACATATTATCATTGCTTTTTATATAACTGTATTATAGTATTTGATTCACAACCAAGTCAAATTCGAGTATTGTTGTTAGGTTCAAACTACTTAATTTTCTCCATGTGACCCCCTTTTTTTTTTTGCATTCACACAGCTCAAATTTTTGACCTTGTCACAGACAATTGAGTGTAACTTTTACCCAACACAACTATTGTTGGTGACTTTATATTATTTATAAATAAAATAATTGATCATGATATACCGCGATCAAAACTGCAAGAAGCCTGACATTCCAACCCAACTTCCATTGGTTCCAATCTCTTTCCATACAAAGAGCAAACACTATGGCTTGTATTGCTCCCATTGTATAAATTAAAAATGTGGTAGAGAGATGGCATGGATATTCTGCACTCATCTTAGCCTGTGCCATATATTAAACCCAAATGAGAATTTAGTTAACTGTGAATCTCACAAGAAACCACATGAATACAAATAAGTACTTGTTTTGTGGGTTTGAAAGTTAATTGATTAATAAATCAATAAATGAAATGACCTGAATAATTAGCCAGCAAGCATTGGAGAAGCAGCTTGCTATGGCACAGAGAACACCAAGCAATTCTGAGCGACCATGTCGTGTGGTCAAAACGGTGTCGTTTTGGTCATGATGTGGGTGCAAAGGATTAACGTGGAAGGACCAAATTTGAATTTCAAAGCCTTTGAAGAACGTAAGAAGCATTGCCCCACCAATCCCTATTATGGTTCCCAACACCTTTGCTTTCCCTCCTGCTGCTCCCAAGTTTAATCTTTCAAAGCTTTACACATTTAAAGATAACAAATAATTGTCAAATTAAGTGTGTGTGTGTGTGTGTGTAGCTATGCTGTTAAAATAATATAAAATAGTATAAGTAACTTTTTATGTGGCTATTATTCTACTATTTTGATGATCAGATTCTAGTATTGTTTGGGTCTAATTGATGGTAATTTTTTTATAGGACTACTTGACATGTTAGATTCAAATATATGTAAGTTACTCCCTCCATTCAAAAATATAAGGCATTTTTTGAGAGGTTGGATATTAAAAAATATTAGTTTTTCAAAGTGTAATCATTATTTTTTTTCAAAAGTGCCCCTACTGAATAAATCATTTTATATTTATTTTAGGAAGAAAGACTCTATTATATAGGGATAAATATAACATATGATGTTATTTTAAAAACAAGTAACTACTTTATTGGGGATGAAGTTCGGTTAAAAATGCCTTATATTTTTTAATGGGGAAGTACCATTTATAAGTTGTGCAAGAATCAATATATTAATTTGAATATTTCAATATATCTAATAAATTTTTTAATAACATGTACTATTCATAAGTCATGGATTTTATAGTTTATTTTTCAAAATTTGTACATTACATATGAACTAGATATAAGTGATATGAAAATATTCAAATTATAAAATATTGCAACATTTTTTTCAGATTCAATATATAACACATAATAAAACAAGTATAGTTTCCCCCTTTTATATGATGGAAGAGTTTTTGATGGAATTAGAATTAGAATTGAAAATGGAATTGAAATTGGAATAGAATTGAGTTTAAAAAGTGTGTTTGGTATGATAATGGAATCTTGATATAATTTTATCTTATATGCATTTTAAAAACATGAAAAGGCTAAAATGCCCTCTTCCAAAAAAACAAACTCATCTTTCTCTCTCCCATTGTTGCCTCCAAAGCTACCATTGATGGCCACCAAAGAACTCAACGAACAAGAAAATAAGAAGAGCATAAACAATGCAATAAAAAGGAGAAAAGCCATGACACTGTGAGCTCCTTCCTTTTCTCCTCTCGTCAACTTTCTCTCTCTATCGGTTCCTCTTTGATAGTGCACCCACTTCCCCATCCTTTATTCCATCTCTGTATCATGACTAACTTGCAAAACTAGTGACAAAGGTGAGAACTAAGAACTCAATAAGATTTTGGACCTTCTTCTTGGGGTTCGTGTGGATTGTGGTTGTCCTCCTGAGCAGTGGTGGTTATCAACATATCTAGATGAAAGGGGATATGTAGTTGTTGATGATGTTCGAGGGGAAGAAACCATATGTCACTAAAGTAAGGAGATGAAGACAAGGAAGAAGGGCAATGCTTCTACACTGAGAAGGAGATGGTTCGTAGAGGGGGAAGAAGGAAGTCATGGAGGAGGGAGAAGGGGCAAATGGAGAAAGGGAAATGAAATCGGATTTCATGATGTGTATAATGGAATTGGATTCTGCTAAATTTTCTTGAATCTAGATTCAAAGAATCATAATTATTGCATACCAAACATACATATTAACAAATTCTATTTCCAATTCCATTTCTTTCTCCATAATTCCAAGCTACCAAACAGGTTAGGTTAAAAGGACTATTTTCCAAAGAAGGAAAAGGGAAATGAGTGAGTCCTCATAGGAGCTTCTCTCTCACACCCACACACAATACAATCACATCTCATTACACGTAATAAAGCATTTCAAGATACATATTTAGTTGGAATTTATATGATCATTAATACCTGACTTCAGCATAGCTTTATCAAAAGCAAAATTATATTATTGAGGATGCTAACATTAACAAAATAAAGATAGTTTATTAGTTAAATGGATAATTAAAAGAGTAAAAGAGTAATTTGACTTTTTCATCCAGCAGGTACACTTTATTTCAATAAAGTCCCATTATAACTCTGTAGCCACATGTAAGTTGTTGATACATAAATAAATATAATACACTAAAATAAATGACTTTTGGCAACAACTTCTAAAAGTCAATATTTAGAGGCGACATTGTGTTGCAACTAAAAGTTGCCATCAAAGGTAGATTTCTAGCAGTAACTTTTAAAAGTCATAGATGAAGGCTTTCTTTTAGCATTAACTTTTAATTATCACAGCTAAAAACCACTTTTAACAGCAATAGTTTGTCACCACCAAAATTTTTTTATAAAAAAATAATTATATAATTACCTTTAGCAGTGACAATTTCACTATCAAAAGTATTTTCATAATAAATAATTAAAAAATTAAAAATAATTTATACAAAAACTTTTATTGGTAATAGTTCATCATTGCCTTTCATAAAAGATTTTTAAAAATAAAAATAATTTATGTAATTACTTTTAGCAGTATTTTCATAAAAAATAATTAAAAATTAAAAATAATTTATATAATCACCTTTAATGTCATCAAAGCCAAAAGTATTTCATAAAAAAATAATTTATGCAATTATCTTTAACAAAAGCATTTTCATAAGAATTAATTAAAAATAAAAAAATATGTAATTACTTTAAGTATTTTCATAAAAAATTAAAATAATTTATATAATTATTTTTACTGGTGACATATTGTTGCCACCAAAAGTATTTTCTTAAAAATTAATTAAAAAAATAATTTATGTAGTTACTATTGCAACCAAAAATATTTTCATGAAAAATAATTTATGTAATTATTTTTTATGGTGACAAACTATTACGGCTAAAGTATTTTTATAAAAAATAATTAAAAAATTAAAAATAATTTATGTAATATTATTTTTAATGGTGACAGGCCATCGCCACCAAAAGTATTTTCATAAAAGTATTAAAAAATATTTTTATAAAAATTAATTTATATAATTACTTCTAGTGGCAAAATTTGTTGCCACTAAAGGTATTTATACATAGAAAAAGAAATAAATTATATATAAGATCAATAATGATTATTTTCAAATATAATGATCTTATTAAGCCAGTATTTTAATAATGATTTATTTTAATAATTACATTTAAAAAATTTTCTTATGGATTATTTTTTAATAATGATCTTATTAAGCTAGTATACATAATCAAACTAAGTTATATATAAATTATAAATAATTATTTTTTTATAATTTTTATGAATTATTTAAAAAATTAAATTATAATTAGGCTAAGTTCTACATAAATACTTACTTACTCTTATATATATTATATATATATATATATATATACACATACATCAATAGCATTGGAATGTTAAAGTTGTATAGATATTGTAAGAACAAATGGCGTTGCAAACTACTTGACACATTGAGCACTTGATGCTTGACTTGATATGTACATGTGTCTACTCTGTCTATTAAACTCTACTTTCACTATCATAAGATTATTTAAATAAGGCGCTCCATATTTGATAATTATTTAAAATAAGAAACAAATAAAATAGGTAAAAAATATTTGATGGTTTTTAACTGTTGAGTAAAGTTGGTTGTAATATATGTTTCACTAGTATTTGATAATTAAAAACTGTCAAGTATTAACAAAAAGAAGCGTCAAGTATAGGAGTATTTTGTAGTAGTGTTTCCTCATCCGGTTCTTATTTTCAAATTACTCAAATTATTTAATTTTTTAATGTTAAATTTTTTGGAATTATTATTGGATAAGAATTGCAAACTTGATTGTTTAATTTATGTTAATATTTAAATTATGGATAAAATTATGTACAAACTTATTAAAGTTTATTTATTTTAAATTGTAAATTTATTAGAAAGTATTTCTATTATCTTGATATTGACTATGTTAAAGAAACTTTAATAAAAGTCCCAATTAATATAGATCGAGTCAAGACAAGATTCTTTCTATTTAAATTATGAAATATCCATTTACATTTTTAATTTTGATTTTTTTTTGTTTAGCATCTACTTTTAGTTTATCACATACCCACTCATTTTTTATCTAAAATATAATAAAGAATAATTAATCAAAATGACTACTAACAAAATTTATATATTTAAAATAAATTTTTTATTAAAATATTTTTAAGATAATTGAAAAACTGTAGAGAAAATTTATTTTTAATAAAAGAATGAGAAGAATTTAACTTTGGAAAACATAAAATTTTAATCATTTAATTATTAATTTTGGAGAAAAATATGGAAAAAATTAAAATATACTCCCTCCGTTCAAAAATATAAGGCATTTTTAATTGAATCTTACCTCTTAATAACGTAGTTATCTACTTTCCAACTAACTCTATCTTTTCATATTTACCCCTATTAAACACCATACAATAAATATAAAGTCATTATCAATAGGGGCACTTTTGAAAAAAAAAGTAATAATTATATCTCAAAAGACTAAAAGTGCCTTACATTTTTTAACATCCAACTCAAAAAATATTTTACATTTTTTAACGGAGGGAGTATATATTATTGTTAACATAAACTAATATAATACATACTTATAAATTAATTATATACTTAATTATTTTCATTTAAAAATAAAAAAAAATTTAAAAATTAGTTAAAATGTTTATAAGGAAATTATTTAATATTTAAAAATTATTTCATTTTAAGCTCATTTTCCTAACAAAATTAATGTTTGCTACAAAAAAATAATATTTTATTAAAAATATAATACACACACACACACACATTCATATAAATTATTTTACCATATTAATAATGAAAATAAAATAATATATATATATATGTATATATTTCTAATAATATATTATTTGACATGTATGTATGTAGTTAATTAATTTATATTTAATTTCATATATAATAACTACAAGCGCATTTTAGTTTAATTGACAAAAAAAGAAGACTTAAGGTTTAGGAGGTAAAGATCATGAGCTCAAATCCTAGCTTGGACATATTTCACAATGAATATGTGACAAGGCATGTGGTGGCGACGTGGCGTGACATAACACAAATTGTCAAGTGATGTGGCATAACGTAGGTGTGTAGCACAAAGTATCAATTGATGTGACATGAGGAGGTGTTTTTATTTTTTTTTAAAAAAAGACATTCGACAGTAACTTTTTGTCCTTAAAGGGTCATCACTAAAAGTCTGGTCGTTAATGATTTTTGCCAACGATAAACATAGTTGCCGCCAAAAGTATACCTTTAGAGGTAAATTTTTAGTGGCAAAATATTTTTGGTAACAACTATATTTGTTACTGCCAAAAACCATTACCAACCAAATTTTTGGTAACAACCTTCTGGTCATGAAAAGTCACCACCAAAAGTCCTTTTTTTTTTTGTAGCATATACTATTAAATTACATGCATCACTTTAGTTTCCACCAAGACGTGACTTGATAGCACATCTTCGTTGAATGAACATGTATTGTACTAAACATGTTAGTTAACTTATTCAGGACAAAAATATTACCATGGGTTAATTAGATATAAAATTTACTTAATATATTAAAAATATAAAATGGAGATAGATAGTATACCCGCAAGAGATAGCCAATATGAAAGTGATGACTGGAATAAGGTTGTAAATAGCAGAAACAAACGTTGCGGATGTCAAAGCTAGAGCCTCGAAGTAAATGTTTTGAAATAAACTCCCCCTGAAATATAATTAAAAAAATACACATAAATTATACTAATTTCAGACAATACAAAAGAAAAATAGGATTGGATCAACCGGCGCTCAAGCGCTCTCATAGGGTCAAATTTTGCATGTGTGTCCTACCTCTATATTTTAAAGCGTTTTCTCAAATAAGCACTCTAATAAATCTAAAATTAATTAGTGAAATCTTGAAATACTGAATAACCGATTTGATCATAAAAGAGAAGGCTTATATCCTTCATTTTTTTTAGTGCTTATCCCTAGAATATCCAAAAGGAAAACTAGGAAATGCAAAGGGTAGAAGGATATACCCAAATAAGCCACAAAGAAATGCCATGAAAAGAACTCTCTGAGTGATCTTCGGTCTCTTGTTCCTGTAAAACATATGAAGAACAAAAAGAACCATTATTTTTTGGCCACCATGTTAATCATAGTCGCAATTGAAAATGAAGAAGAAGAAGATTGAATGAGACCTTTCAAAGACAAGAGCGAGAGGAAGAGTAGAAACAGATGCGAAGAGAAGGCGATAGGCAGTAGCGATCCTCATGCTCATTCCATCATTAGCGGCGAGCTTGTACAACACATTCACTGATGCAAATGCTATCTGCACCATCACCATTAAAACCACTGGTTTTAACCCATTCATCATCTTACGTAAATCCTCCATGGTTGATCCTCACACTACTCTCTCTCTCTCTCTCTCTCTGCGCGTGCTTGCGCTTTCAAGTATATATATGAGTTTCTAAGTTAGAGAGGGAATGATATAAATATATATAGTGTGAGAGAGGTATGCTTTGCGGGGTTGTTGTGTGGATGGTGAAGCATTGCAAAGGTCGTGTGTATTTATTGAGTTCTTATAGGTTGAGTGTCATGAGTCTCACATCAGAGAGCCTCATAAGTGGTGTGAAATTTATAAATGTGAGGGGCTCTTCCACCTAACAAGCTAGTCTGTTGGGTGATGGTGCTATTGTAACATCCCAAAAATTAACCTAAGGTTAATTAAGTTAATTTAGAGCAAATGAGTAATTTTGGAGGAATATTTAGATATAAATATTTTTAATTAAAAGATTATTATTGGATTTAATTTAGATTAAAATCCTAAGTTATGATCTTATAGTAAATAGAAATAGTAATGATAATATTATTGAAAAAAAAAGAAAGAAAGAAGAAGGAAAAGGAACATAAAATAAATTGAAAATTAAAGGGGGGAGAGAAGTAATTTTGCTTTGGGTGTTGAGGTGTAAATAATGCCAAAAAAAGAGAGAAAAGGTGGGGGCGGAAACCGTGTGTGTGTATTGAAGAAAACGAAAAGAGAGAGAGAGGCGTGATTTTTTGTGGGACCCCATGATTTTTTTAAAAGCCAACAAGCCTTTTGGCTTTTCATTCTCTCTTCCTTTTTGTTTCTGCTTCCGCACAGAGAGAGCGTGCACGCTATACGGTAGGAGCTGATTTAGAAGGTGATGCTTCATAATAGGATACTTCAGATGAGATTTTAAGTATTTTAAGATTAGGTAAGTGTTCTAAATATTTTCTTAGTCATTTTTTTCCCTAAGACTGCAGATTCTGAGATTTTGGAAAAATTTAGGTTTTGAAAGAGGGATGAATTTTTGATGAGAAAATCTGGCTGTTGAGGTTATTGGTAGTGTAATAAATATTCTAGAGTATTATTTTATTGATAGAATTGAAACTTGAGACATTTGAGTTTATCCATAGATCCCTATGGATAGATTTTTGGTTAAATCCAAAAATATAAATTGATTTGTTGATATTTAGATGATTGTTTGAGATAAAGATAAATTATTATGGTTATAGAATAATGATTCTAGGCTTGAAATCAAGTTTGCAATTTTTGGATATTTTTATGTGCGAATTTTTAGAATAAAAGGGAAATTTTGATATTAAAAAATTATTTGAATGAAATTATTGTGAAGGAGACTATTGAACCAAGTAGATAGGTTCAAATACATGAAATTAAATTTCAGAACTCAAGAGGCTAAGACTAAGGTCTTAAAAAAATAAAATAAAATAAAATAAATACTTAGGTGTTAGAGTATGAGTGAAAATTGTATTAATAATATTATTGACATATTGGGATATGATCAATTGTAGATTAATTTTCTTTTGACACCATTCAACCTTTTGAAAACTTTGGAAGTGTTGTAATTTGAGGGGTAACCTTTGACCTCTCAAAGGTTGAGGTAATTGAGGGAAATCTATTTTATGCATTTGTATGTTACTTAATTAATTATGTTGGTGAAATAAAATAATATATATATATATATATATATCTAAATTTTGAAATGATTGTTTGTAATGCATGTGGCTTTGTTGAGACTCTATGACTTGTGACCAAGTTAATTGTGACTTGGTATGAGTAATGAGATTATGGTTGATATGATGTGTACATTCTTGGTTATAAGTTGTGGATTATGCACAGTGATGAATTGTATATTAGTATGTTGAGTTTTATATGATCAATGTGGTTTTATGTGATAATATAAAAATTGATGCAATAGGCATGATTGAAATATAATGATTCTTGATGTTTGTTGAGCAAGAAATTGATGAGCATGTGGGATAATTGTGAATTATATATATAAATTTTTGAAATGCATTTTCTCATGATCATGATCATATGGTGGGAATTTGCCTTAGTGAAGGAGTTAGTGGTTATGCAAAATCCATATGGTACTTAACTTATTAACCAATAATCCTAAGGGTTATAGTCACTACTTATCGTGTAAGGTACTGTAGCATTATTCCTATTAAGGGACTTGACCCTACTGGCCTACCTGGAGTTTTGGGTAGAGCTAGTTTTGGATATAACACCCTATAATGTGTGATTTGGGGGAAACCATGTTTATAAGTGAGTAAGGTAACCCTGGCTCGGTAACCCTCATGATATGATTAAGGCCTTGGGTAGTCTCACCACATGGACGATCCCTTTCGGTTGTTGGCCCACGGATTTCATGTCAGAGAAATAAGGGGGATATAAGGAAGATATTGATCATGCATATTATTACTATCATGCCATTTGAGTGATTGATGGCTATGTTGAGAATATGATTATAATTGTAAAAATGAGAACATGTAGTAATTATGCGAATAATGTATATGTGGCTATTTGTGCAAATTTTGTACTTGACTTTATTTTGAAATTATTCACATGAGTTAAATGTTAATGTGATTAACATGTTATTAATGTGATTGTTTGAATAGTCACCTTGATAAATTTATTGGCCACTTGCATTCATAATTAATTATCATCCATTTGTATAACTTAGATGTACCTTGGTTACTGAGTGGTTGTACTCACCCCTCTCTTTTAACATATTACAGGAGCTAGCTTATCTCAAAGAACAGAGGAAAGGAGCATTAGGCCAAGTGATAGTAATCACTTCTATAGGCCTTTCTTTTTTTATTTTGATATGTTTATTTAGTTTATAATATTGCCAACTAGGATAATATATTCTTGATCCACTTGCATTATGGGTTTTCTATTGGGGGAAATGTATTTTGGGCCCTAGGGAATGTGGTTTGGATGCTTGTGCTATATTAATGGGCCAAAATATTTGTGCAAGTAGAAATAGTTAATATTGCCTAATTTGAGAACTTGAATGTTATTATGGTCTCCCCTTGTATTTTTGATATCCAAGGGTGAGCAGTTGATATTAATAATATGTGAATGAAAAGGAAAATTCATGTATATGATAGGCTATTGATGAATAAATGATATATAGAGTATGATGATTAGGTAATAATCATTGTGATAAATGTAATTGAGACCTTGGCTCCCTACTGCCAGTTATGGAAGGGTTTGAGTGGCCAAGTGTTATGTTGTAAATATGTATACATGTATTATGGAGCATAGAGAGAAAATAAAAGGGAAAAAGCTTTTTCCCATGTTGATGTGTTTTCTTTATCATGCTTCCGTATATCTCTAATTGAATGATTTGAGTTCTTGGAATATTTTAAAGACTTGAGATCCCTTTATATTAAATCATTTGTGAAAATACATGTTAAGGATTTATTTAGGTTAATCTCTTATAGGATAATCCTTTTGAGTTAGTCTTGATTTATTATAGTTAGTCTATGATTAAGTTCTAATTTAGGACACCCTTTACAGCTGCCTCCTTTAGGCTTTTAGTTTCAGAAAGGGCTGCCTATTAAGGGTTCTAATTGGTTGCAACCGAGTGAAGTGTCATAGAGTGAAAGCTGCCTGGATTATAGGTTTTGGGGGGCACTCCTACCAAACTATCTTTTGGGATAGGCTTTCCTTTTGATCTTGTACTTGTTACATTGGTACTTTTATATATTGAGAGGTCAATATTACTAAAAGAGCTACCTGCAGAGTGAGCTTTCAGGGACATCGACTCTTGACGGGGTGGCATTGTCATGAGTCTCACATTAAGAAGCCTCACAAATGGTGTGAAGTTTACAAATGTGAGAGGCTTTCCTACCCAATGTATTAGTCTATTGGGTAGTGGTACCACTCCCCTTGGGTTTATAGTCTTGGAAAGGGCCTCTTATGAAGGAGTTTAAACAACAACAGCTAAATGAAGTGTCATAGAATTGGAACTGTCAGGATTATAAGTTTGGAAGGCACTTCTACTAGATTAATCTTTTGATATAGGCTCTCCTTTTAGACTTATACTCATTACATTGAGTTCAAATTAAAGGAGGAAGCTTGAATCATAGGGATCATTAATCATTGTTCATAGGTTTTGTGCACTGGTAACTACGATTAGGCAAACTCCATAGCTCAAAAATATTTATTGGTTACCTGCCAAGGTTCTCGCTTTAATGATGGAATATAAACTCGCATTTTTGTGATGTGTGATATATCGAGTCGCATCTCTATTTTAGTTTCACTAGGTAACTAGAGTATATAGTAGATCCAATAAAGGGGGAGATATGTGGCCCAAATAACTATAACATGCTTTACCTTCCTTGTAATCTTACACACACACACACACACATATAAGAACATCCTCTTGGTGGGGAAATTAAAATTATTATTATTATTATATATATATATATATATATATTCGAATGGTTTGCTCAAGAAGTACAAAATGAATAAGTTTCTCAATCAAAACTTACAATAATTCGATATTTCTAAGAGAGAAATTCCCAAAACATGTATGTATTTATTTTAAATATTGTACATGACTATATTGAATATATGTATATATCATATCCCTTGATAAGATCATTCTCTAAACTTCGGTAAACAAATACATCATAGCACGACACAAAAGAAGGAAAATGATCGAGCTATAGATAAGGACACACACAAATATAATATTAAAAAAAACTAATTTTTTAAAAAAAAATCATAAAAATTCAAAAATTAGACCCTACTAAAAGCCAAATTTATTTTTTTGACCCTTCACATGTATATAATATGGTCTGGAACCTTTCTAGGAAGATATTAACCACTATAAGTGCAAATATAAAAACTTTTAAGCCTATAACTCATACTTGATTTAACCATGATTCACCTCTATTTGATAATTTATAAAATTATAATTTATAATATTATTAATTTATGGTCAAGTTGTACTATTTTATTAGTAACTAGATATACTGTGAGTTTAATTTATTTCACATATGTATGTGCATTTAATATTATTTTTATTTAATTATTATGTCATCACAATTCGA